ATTTTAAAATTACATTACTATAAATATGAGTGTACACTGAGCTAGAGCTAAAATCCTATAGAAAAAACTTTAAAGGAAAAGACCAAAAGACCAAAATCAAACCTACTGAGTGAAAAAAAAGTCATATTCTTAAAAGATTAATATCCTAATTTTTTTTGGGGGGGGGGAGAGATGTTGGTCATCGACATAGGAATTATTAAGGTATTAGTGAATTGCTTTAAATCAATATTGATCATGAATTTTTATTTACTGGAGATGAAAATCTGTTTCCATAGAGGCAAAATATATATGATCACACTCCTTTAACAAAAATCTTTCTTTTATATTTTATTCCTTATTGTAGGTTGAGTTATTCAGACTTGCTTTTTCCCTTCATTTCTTTAATCTGTTTCTGCTAACTAGAAGAATTTGAATAGCTCCTAACTGTTGCTTAGGAGAAAGAGCTCAGCAGTTACAGGGGAAAATGTTCTCTTTTCAGTGTTGTTTCAATAAAACAGATATTATTCTGCTCCATGAAATTGTCTTTGCAAATGTCATTTTTAATAAAGAAGAAATAATCTCACAGATTAATTCTGTCTAGAATAGTTCTAAATGGTTTGCAATTGTGATGGTTATTTTATTTAGTAGTTTGCTGACTTGGATATGATAGTTATGACATTCTTCATCCTAGAATATTCTAGCAACACTGATGAGGTTTCTCTGTTAAGCCGATGATGATGTTTCGGTTATCTACACAAACAGGCAATAAGCAGACCCAATACTCACTGGATTTCTTATATATACAAAAAGTTTAAGTGTAAAATAGAGAGAGATCTTGTATGATCTATTACTGCTATTAGATTGCTTCATTTAAAAGAGATCTGAAAATGAAAACAAAATGTTAGGATCTGATGAAACCAGTAATGTGCCCCCAAGTACATTATGCTGTTCTCAACAATTGCAAGCTCTGAAATTTTCATAACATTCCTTTCACTATTGACTAGTCATCATTGTTGTGATAAGTTTAGACAAGTGAGGAATTATTTGAGACATCTGGGCAATGGAAAGAGAAACCTGCTTCCCTCTGCTGCCCGGGGCACCCCTGTGGGGTGTGGGGTGATGCAGAAGGTCTGTTCACCTACTGTCCTGGCAGACTCAGCTGTGCAGGACCAGCGAGTCCAGGGGGCACCACTCACCTCCATGCGTGACCTGCGATCCACAGAGCAGCCTGGGGGATGGGCCCCGAAGCTGTGCAAGGCAACAGCCTGCTGCCTGGCTAGGAAGGGGCACTGCAGGGAGGAGAGGCCATGAGGCCCGAGAGCTGGGCAACAAGAGGACCCACCTGCCAGGATGTGTGACGAGGTGGCAGCTTCAGGCTCCAAGGCTGGAGTGGGGCCTGGGGATAGGGCAGCACCTGGGGACACAGAAGGCAAAGGCTCAGCTCTGTGGTGCTGTTAGTGACATGGTGCTCCTGACAGTCGACCTTTATTACAATCAGGGGGAGCCGAGAGGTGACTCCCCCTCACCTGTGCAGATAATGTTGGCGTCCTCCGGGTGCCCGCAGTTGTGCCCGGACTTGGGCCTGTGCGCACACTGCCCCAAGTGGTTCTCACTGCGCACACACTGCATGTTGTCCAGCAGGATCTTCCCAGAACCACCCCCAATGTGGGCCCTTGTGGGGGCAGCCACAGCCTGGCCACACTGCAGCTGGCGGCACATGACAGTGGCCTCGGCCAGGCCCCAGAGGGAGTCACACACGGTCCCCCATGTGCCCTGGATGAGGACCTCCAGTCAGTCTGAGTACCACCCAGTGCCGTTCACCAGCCTCATGTCCATTCGGGCTCCTGGGAGGCACAAGGAAGAGACACTGGGGGCCTGCACACCATCTCCTGAAGCTTTCCTTCATTCTTTTATGTCTGCAGGTTTTCCTGCCCCCCTTTCACAAGCCCTTAAAGTCACATCATCCTCACACACCCATGGTTAAGGAAAGGCAGAAGAATTTGCAATTTTGAGTCTTTTTGATGCAACTTTACCCCCTTTCAAAAAGTAGATCCTTTTAAGATATATCCAGAACTCCTATGGGTCTCCTCATAACACAACCATTTTGTTCATATATTTTTCATGTTCATTGGACAGGGATAGAAATATAACAAGTTAATATCTGATGAATAAGAAACTAGACGATTCACAGGCAGATCAGAGCTAACGAGACCCTTGTCACCCAGAACTACATTAGTCGCTGAACCACTTGGCTTCCAGAAGCCTTTATGGTGTTACTGTGTAAAGGAGACTAGTCTGAAGACAGAGACTGACATTTGTTGTTTGTGACTTAGGTGCCAGAGTCGGAGAGTCGCCACCCTAACCATTGTCTCTCTTAATCTTCAGAAGTGCCGCATTTTACAGATTGAGACATGGAGACTCAGAAAGGTCAAGAAAATCCCAGTTTGTATGTGGGCTGTTTCCCACTCTAACTCTGCCTTAAAACATGATAGTACTTTTACAATTGAAAGGAGTGGAGTTAATTTCAGGTGGCACAGGTATTGGAGGACCTCAAATTTAAATATCAAGGAGTTGAGGTAATAAATAGGCAGAGAAGCCATTTAGAAGAAGTCTGGGGTCATGTAGGTAGAAAGAGTGATGAAGATTTGGATGGAACAGCAATGAAGAGGAGACCATGAATGTAACCTCAGACTCCTAGTTATAAATAGAAAATTAATTCACCCAAAAAGATCTATTTGTATACAGCTAGATAGCCAGATGTTTACAACTATCTAGAAATTATATTTAAATATTTTCATTTGGATGTTTTGCATGTACACTCTCTCTCTCTCTTTCTCTCTCTATATATGAAAACAATCTGAAAACAGAGAAGTGATTCATAAGTACAAAGTTCAACTTACTAGATGGACTTGTTTTTGCTGGTAGTGATGATGGTGATGCTGCTGGTAACACTGATGCTGATAAATATGTCATTGTTGATGAGAGCAATGGTGATGATGTTGAAGATGATGATGATAATAATGATGGTGATAATGTTGATAATGACAATGGTGATGATGTTGATGAAGATGTTGATGATAATGGTGATGATGATGATGACAATGATAATGTTGATGATGACAATGGTGATGATATTGATGAAGATAATGATAATGAAGATGCTGATGGTGATGATGACAATGACGATGATGATGGTGGTAATGATAATGCTGATGAAGGTGATGAAGAAGATGGTGATAATGTTGATAATGACAATGATGTTGATGATAGTGAAAATGATGATAATGTTGATGCTGACAATGGTGATGATGATGATAATAGTGGTGATGATGTTGATGACAACAATGGTGATGAAGATGGTGATGATAATGGTGGTGATGATGGTGGTGATGATGATGACAATGGTGGTGATGGTGGTGATGATGACAATGGTGTTGATAATGGTGATGATGGTGGTGGTGATGATGATGATAATGTTGATGATGACAATGGTGATGATGTTGGTGGTGATGATGGTGGTGATGAAGATGATGATGACAACAATGGTGATGATGACAGTGATACTGTTGATGATGACTGTGGTGAAGATGGTGATAATGGAGATGATGGCGATGGTGGTGAAGATGAAGATGACAAAGATGGTGTTGATGATGATGAATAAGGTGGAATCAGTTTTTCTAATGAATAGAAGATGGCTTCTATTTATAAATTCAAGAAAATATTTCTGAGAATGTGGTCCCCAGAACAGTAGCATAAACAACCTAAACTTTTTGGAAATACAAACTCACCCTTAGGCTTACTGTATCAGAAATTCTGATTGGGATCTAGCAATCTGTGTTTTAATAAACCCTCCAGGTAATTTTGGTGCATAGTAAAGCTCCAAAACCACTGCTTTAGGATGAAAAAATGATTGAAATCACCCTGTGACTTTTCCTGGTACCAGAAGTATTCTAAATCATCTAAGTCTGAATAGATCAACTGATGTTTCTTTGCCTGTTAGGCAGGATCAGATTTCATGTACTCCAGAGGGACCATTTTCTGATCTAATTACTCTGAAAAGTGAATGACAATTTTCTCTCAAATAAGTAATTTGTGATGATAGATGAGTATTGTCATAGAAAACTATCCTAATCAGTGACTATTAGTTACAGTTCTCAATAGCCTCAGGAGAGTCCTGACTTGCCTGCAATTACCTGGTAATTAATTCTGATTTGGGAAGGTTTTTGTACCTGGGTGATTGGGTTTTGTTGGCTAATTGCCAACATCCCTCTTAGCTGATGTTGCTCTTGGGTGTTGAGCAATCTGTGATGCTTCATCCTAAATGTTGCCTGGGATCTACCCTGGGGAAGCTGCTCAGGGAAGGGTCCATTCAGGCCAGGATTAGGAGGTTTCCTGGAGAGGGGGAGCAGGAGCACATGAAAGCAAGGTCAGCACTGCTCCTCTGTGTTCTGAGTTCCATCTATTGCAGTGTGTTAAATTCTAGACTGGGAAAGCCTTTCAGGCCCAGGCAATACGGACCATTCTAATCAACCTCAGCAAACCGCTTACAGCTTGATTTCACTGAGTCATTTTCTCTCCATTTCAATCACACAGTATAAATGCTAACTAGACAGAATGAAAAGTACAATGGGACCTAGAAATATCCCAAATCAGTCTTATCTGGAGGGCAGGGACCTGTGGTTAGAGAACCAGTTAATTCTGAGAAAGGAAAACATCAGCCCTCCCAGAGCAGATCATTGGCTCATTTCTCATTTTCTGTAATGACACGCTCTGTTCATCAGTCATTTAGATACAAAAAGACCCTTCACCTGAGCAGATGACTCCAACATCCTCCTCGTGCCCACAGTTGTGAGTGAACCAGGGGCTGTGGGCACACAGTGCCAGGTGACTTTCCTCCCCGCTGCAGTGCACATTGTCCAGGAGAATCTTCCCAAAGCCTGGGCCAAAGTGGGCGCCCTGGGGGGCAGACACTGCATGGCCACACCTAAGCTGCCTGCACACAACCTGGGCTTGCTGCAGACTCCAGCCGCCATCACACACCGACCCCCAGGTGTCCCGGTAGAAGACTTCCACCCGGCCAGAGCACCTCCCAGTGCCATTCACCAGTCTCAGTGGGAGCTGTTCTTCTGTGGAAACATACAAAGGTAAGTCTTGTCACACACCTATTGAGCTCACTGTATTTGCCTGGTGTGTGAATTAAGGGTGACCTTTCGATTATTCTACAGGTATAAGACACTCTAGGGAACAATTGCTTGATACTGACACCACAGTGTGAAATGCTCTTTACCAGCCACTGCATCTTGCAGATTAGATTGCAAATATGTGTCTTGTTTGTTTTTTGGTTTTTGCAGTGGTGCTTTCCAACTTGACACAAGCAGAGCAGACATGAAGAACTGAGACCATGTATTCTATCACTGGGGAAATGCATTAATTAAATGGTCTAGTGAAAGAACCACAGCATGACAGCAGTTAAAAGCAGAGAATTACTACACCCACATATGTGCATCGACATGGGTAAATCTCAAAAATGTGACATCGAGTAAAGAATAAAAGGTATCAAATGACATACAGGGACTAATGTAATTTGAGCAAAAGAAAAACACAATACATATATAGTTGAGCCTTGAAGCACATGGGTTTGACCTGTGAGTCCACCTGTATGTGGATTTATTATTTTACATTCACAGGTGAACTAAGCTTGGAAAGGCTGATTATAAGGGACCTGCGCATCTGTGGACGCTGGTGTGGGGGGTCCTGTGACCTTCCACAGTTTCCAAGTGAGGACCATAGTCATGTTTTTAGGGAGTCAAAGTTAGGAGGATCTTTTGATTACGGGGGCTCTGTAATCCCCCAACTTATTCAATAGTCAACTGCAGAGAGATCACGTAATTTATATCCATAAAAATATAAAAAGATGAACTATAATGATATAGCTCAAGAGAGTGTCTCCAAAAGAGGAGAGACTGGAGACTGAGGCTGGGGAATTTCAAGTTTATCCATGATGTTTCATCTCTTGACAAGACTAGAAAAGACAACATAACCAAATGTAATCATGGTCATCTCCAGATCAAGGGGCATGGTCACTGCTTTCTTATTCTCTGCATTTTCTGAAATTCAAAATGTTTCTTTGAGAGAGGTGGACCCTGAGGAGGATCCAGAGGCCCAGCTGGTGGGAGGCCATGGTCCTCTTCCTCCCTCTGTCATTTCCCCGGGTGCTCAGTGGCTGCTAACTCTGCAAATCTCCCCGGGTTCACTCCCCAGTTGAGATGCCCCCCTGGGGTTCAGGAGAGCAGTGGTGCATCCCGGGGGGAGTTTGCTGACCTGAGGGGCTGGGCTGGGGCACCTGTGCTCTGTGGCTGGACAGTGCTGAGAAGACTCTGGGTAAAACTAGAACAACAGGGAAACCGTGGTTAGCACTGAGGCTGCTTTTCCTGAAACAGACACAAGAACTCATTGGAAAAGGACTCGGATAGCAGCAACTGAAGAGCCACCAGCTGTTCCACAACTTCCCAGAACATCTGCGGTGGCCACAAACATCAGGACTGGCCACAAGCTCACAGAATGGCCCAGTTTCTCGTGAGACTTAAGTCAAGCGCAGGGGCTGACAGAGGCTCCTAAAGGTGATTCTACTGCTTCTGCACCCCCTCCCCCATGGGAACCCCACATCAGCCCCAGGTTCTGTGCAGCACTAGTGAAATAAGTCATAGAAGAACTGGATAAAAGTCTCAAGATCACTGCATTCATAAGGACGCCGGTCATCTTGGGTGAGCCCCCAAAGGACATCACATGACCGGTGACATGACCCACTTCCCCGGGCGTCCCTCTGGAAGGCAAGTCTGGGTGTGGACAGGACGGCGACGAGCATTGCTGTACCTGACGTGACAGTTGGTTTCTTTTCACGATCGGCTGAAGCTGGAAAAGAAAAATAGCTGTTAGAATTTGGCTTCATTGGTTTTCTCACACGGGCAACGCAGCACGCAGAGGAGGTACAGCATGGCGTGTTCCAGCGCGATGCCTCTCCCTGAGCACGGCGGCCTTCTATCTCTTTGTCTAGCGGGTTCTTTGCCAAGACCGAAGCTGCCCCAGGAGCACCCAGCAGCCTGCCCACACCCTCACCACCTCCCTCTCACTTACTGACTCAGTCAGCTTTTGCTGGGTGCCCGTCACTGCCCAGCACAGCGAGAGGCACCAGAGTTGGGGAAGGCATGAAACCCTTGCCCTTGTGCGGCTTAAACTCTGGGGCTGGAGGGGATGGCGGGCGTCAGGTTATCCAGTGAGTTTCCTCCAGTCCTGAACTTCACCTTATCCTTCTCACAGGCTTAAGGTGCTCCAAGTGGCCTCTGCCCTCCCTCGTCACACCCATTCCTCGCTGCTTTCTGTCGCTAACCTACCTGTGGGTGCGTTCGCGTGGTTACTGTTTCGTGGGGCCGAGGGAGTTGAGACAGCTGTTGGGGTAACAAAACAAGAAAAACAATGGCTGATATTTAATGCTGACTGCAAAGAAGACTTAATTCCTCTGCATCAGACACAAGGCCACACATTATATCGTTGCATTGATGTGAAATTTCCAAAACAGGCAAATCCACAGAGATGGGAGCAGGTTGGTGACTGCCAGGTGCTGGGGCAGGAAGGGTGACAGGAGACAGATGGAGCCTCTCTTTCCTCTGACGGTGTGGGGTCACCCCCCACCCCCCATGACTCCACAACACACACCGCAGGCACAGATGGAGCCACACTCGCACTGTGTGACGAGGCCCCCGGCTCTCTGCTCAGGGCTTCACGCGAATCCACTGGCTTCATCCTCACACCACTCCTTGAAGTGCAGTTACTAGCCCCGCTTTTTGGATAAGGAAAAGGAAGCACCAGGCGGTAAAGAAGCCTGGGGAGGGTCACACAGCTATGAGGGGCAGGAAGCTGCGCCAAGCCTTTGGTCGGGCAGGTGGCCCTGGACTTCAGACTGCCGAGCAAGTGGGATGTGCACTTGGGGGCCTTGTCCCCTAGGCAAGAGCGAGGGGTTTCATGTGTGCGCTCGGTGTGAATATTTGGACATGGACACAAGTAAGCAACCTGGGATGTAACAAGTGGTGCTCAGTCACTCATTCCAGCAGTTGCTGTTTACTCATTCAGCAAGCACGAATGCTCAGCGGACAGCAGACACTGCTCTCAAGACTGTGTGTTGCATGTGTGTGTGTGCACACACTTGTGTGTACATGCATGCATATGTGTGACTGTGCATGTGATTGTGCGTGTGTGTGCATGCATGTGTGTGATGGTGCATGTGTGTTGGGGGAGTTGGGACAATATCAAAGATGAGAAAGATGGATTCTGCTTCAAAACGCTGCCAATACCACTGGAGGAACAAGCGGATCACACACAGCTACCCGCCACCGCACAGGAAAGGAATGTGAGTGCAGAGTGAGGATGGGCAGAGCTGCCGGAGTCCAGAAGAGGGACCATAAATCTGGCGATGGTGCTGGGAAGGGTCCTGCTGGGAGACACTGAATGTGCCGCAGCTCAGGGGAGAGTTGAGTTGAGATGAGGGGGTGGAGGGCTGAACGCGGCGTGCGAGGGGGCTGAGGCTGGGGTCTCAGCGTGTATCCTGCTGATGATGAACACATGGGTTGGGGAGAAGCACAAGAGTAAGACAATGAAACACAGGCTTGCCCCAGAGGTCAGCCCATCTTCTTATCCTAGTTACCCTTGTCTCAAATGGGTCCGTGGAGTTTCTGGAGAGGCCACACATGTGGTCAGTCTCTTCAGTAGTTAATAGGGTTTTATTTTTTATTTATTTTTTTAAAGATTTATTTATTTATTTATTCATTCATTCATTCATTTATACAAGCACTGGGTACAGTCAGAAGCGCGGGAGGGTGAGAGAATTCACCAGAGCCAGAGCGGGGAGCAGAGCAGGCAGAAGGACCGAAGTACACTGCTGAGGGAGCAGCGGGCGGCAGGAGAGGTCTGCGCGCCATGCGGGACCCTCCTCCGGCGGCCGGGGAGCAGCCAGGGATCGAACTGGCGCTGCAGAGGCTGCGGGCAGCTTCGCAACCCAGCGCTCAACCGCTGCGCCACCGGGGAGGCCCTAGTTAATAGGGTTTTAATGTGGTTCATAGTTCAAATAGTTCAGAGCTTAAGCTCTAGGGCTCTGAAGTCAGATTGTTTGCACTGTCATCCCCTCGACCTTGGGGACAACATTTGGCCTATTTGAGCCTGAGTTTCCCCATTCAGAAAATAGGGGTTGTAGAAGTTCCCTCATCCAGTTGTTGGCAGGATTAGCTAAGAAAATCCAGGTAAGGCAGTGCAGACAGGGATTGACATGGCAAAAGACAATGCTGTCCAATAGAGAGAAATCATGAATCGCATCGGTAATTCAAATTTTTCTGGCAGCCACATTAAAAGCAAAAAGAAACAGGTAAAATGAACTTAAATAATATATTTCAATAAGTCCAAAATATTATCATTTTTAATGTTTAATCAGTATAAAAATGATCAATTTTGCATTCTGTGTCCCACAGATAATGAAATCTTTCCTGCTTAGAAACGTCCCAGACACGCCACTCTCTTAAATTCAAAGACGCAAGGTAACGCGAAGAATTTCTCTTCCTCTAACCCCACCCTCACGTTTCTTCTCCCTTCACTCTTTGCACTTGTGAACACATGAAACGAGAAATCTTGTGCTGTGATGTCTATTGACGGTAAAGTTACAGACAACCAAACCGTGAAGCTGGACAGCGTGAAATCCATCTCGGGATTCTTGCCCCTTCTTCTCAAATCATTCAACCTCAAATGGAACCCCTGGGCTCATCAAAGGACCCACTATCAGTGATGGTGGCCGGACCACTCACCACAGAGCAGCTCGGAGCTGTGAGAAACCAGGTAGGGTGGTGGGGGCGGGTCCTACCTGGTGATGTGGGTAGTGCCGCCGTCACAGGGGAGCGTGGAGTGGAGATGGCCGCCGGCAGAACTGCAACAGAGAGACTCCTGTTACTGGTAGGAAACTCGAGGGCATTGTGGCCAGCCCTGTCGCTTAGCCTCAACTGGAGGTGACCACGGTGCAATTGATAGACATGCCACCTCTTAGCCACCCATCCTCAGTCCTGCGCAGCTGAATCATCTGCAGCCTTTCTCTCCCAAACTCGATGTCCAAGTGTAGGTATTTGGTATTTTGTGATAAGAATTATGTATCCCGAGCCTCACATTCCCCTTAAGAGTTGGCTTTGGCCATTAGGACCTCCTGGTAATTTTATTCACTTGTTCTGCTTATTTTGTAGCCTGTTTTATTACTGACAGGTCACTGTGCCCTCACATGAAGACTCTCCATGACTCTACAACATCACGGTTGGCTTCTGCTCCCAGAGATCATGGGACTTACAATGTCCAGAAGGAACACTGGCAGGAGGAACAACAGGGGTAGAGCCCCTTAGCTCATCCTCTTGTACTGACTGGGTAGATGTTACCCCTCTCCTGGCGCATCTTCCTTCTCCCTGCTTGTTGTTGACAGCACCTTATTTCAGTGCATGTCCTGAGAGACGTGTCTGTTGTGTGCCACTGCACAGGAGCAACTACAAAATTGTGTTTACTAAGTGTGGGTGGTAGAATACTGCTTCGGCCTCCAGTGCCTTCATTCTAATCTCTGGAACCTGTGAACATGTTTGGTTTACGGTAAAGAGGAATGAGGGCTACAGATGGAGTAAGGTTGCTAGTTAGATACCTTAAGATAGGGACAGTGCCCTGGGGCATCCAGGTGGGTCCCCTGTAATCACAGGCGATCTTAAAAGTGGAAATGGAAGGTAGGGGAAGAGAGGCAGAGAGAAATTTGAAGGCACAGCACTGTTGACTATGAAGGAGAGAAATGAGGCCACAAGCCAAGGAATTCAGGCAGCCTCTAGAAGCTGAAAAAAGCAAGAGATGAACCTTCCTCCAGAAGCTCCAGAATGAGCACAGACCGAGTGACATCTTGGTTTTAGCTCAGCAAGGCCCATTTTGCACTTCTGACTCTGTAACTTCAAGATGATAAATCTGCGTTGTTTAAAACACCAAGTTTATGTGAATTTGTTACAGCAGTAGGAAGCCCATGCAATCAGCATATTTGCACATGATCAAATGATGCTTTCTCCAAAGAAAATTTGAAACATCATTGATGAAAACTGAGAGGATACTCTCAGAGCAGCTGGCCAAAGTGAAATTTAAAGATACAACTATAAAACCTCTATGTTCTAAATGGCTTCCAGTATTTTTTTTTCAAAAACATGTTTCAAAAACTTGTTATCTCATTTTAAAAATAAGTTAGTGAATCTATTGGGGGCAATACCCCAAAATCAGTTCTACAAAATCTCAACCATAGGGGGAGGCTGTAATGAGTCACTTGCAGCAGAATAACTCCTCAGCAACTCTTTCATTGTTTCTCTTCTGTACTGTGGGGCAGTCAGAAATGTGCCAGGGAAATAGTACAAAGATGTTCTCTTACCTGATAATATGGTTGCTGAATTTCCATCATCTGTTGGTGCAAATAAAATGGAATATTTCTTATTCTATCAAATTGACAAACTTTCACTCATCTAGTTACTGATTTTCAACCAATCTTTAATATAACAGATCAAAAATATAAAATGTGGGGCCTCCCCTGGTGGCGCAGAGTTTGAGCTCTGGGCTGCGAAGCTGCCCGCAGCCTCTGCAGCGCCGGTTCAATCCCTGGCCACCGGCGAGGGTCCCACATGGCGTGCAGACCTCTCCTGCCACGCCCACTGCTCCCCTCAGCAGTGTATTTCATCAGTCTGCCTGTTCTGTCCCCACCCTGGCTCTGGTGAATTCTCTCACCCTCCTGCGCTTCCGACTTTACCCAGTGCTGATATAAATAAATAAATCTTTAAAAAAAAAATATATGTATATATATAATGTGGTGAACTCTTGGTAAACTACGGTCCCTTGGACATAATAGGCTCTCAGTAGTAGCTGCTGATTTCACTGTTTTGAAAACTTTAAAGGCAATAGCTTTAACACATGAGTCTGCTTTGCAGAATGTCCACACCCCAAGGCAGGTCAGCATCACTGAAGTCAGGGCCACCTGCCTGTCCAGAGCAGCAGTATGCAAGTGGGATCAAGGCAGGATGGGCAAGGCATGCCCCACACCTCAGCTTCCTGTGCCTCCTTCAGGACCCAGTGGCCACCCCACGTCCCCCCGGCCCCTCAGTGAACATTCCTATCAATCTGTTATATGAAGATTGAATATACTGACAGTAAAATACTTTTATCTATATAGCAAAACCAGACAAGCAGAATACAAACTTGAGGACCATGTGGATGAGTGAGAAATGAGTAGAAAATCAACCAGCCAATCAACCAAGAAAGCTCTTCGCTAATTATTAGAACTGACTATTCACTTAAGCTCTGGACGTTCTGGAATTTGAAGGGAGCGTGATCCAGTCCCCCTTACCTGGCCGGGATGTCTTCCAGAAGGAAGCTACTGCCTTTGATTGGGGACCACTGGACATTATAATGATACAATATCTTCAACAGAAACTTTATTAGAGAGGCGGGATGTATTTTTTGTTCATTAAGCTTTTCTTTAAAAGCTATTATGGCCGAGGAGCTGTCCTTGGCCCCGGGATAACCAGATGGTCAAAGCTCCTGTTCTCACACACTCCCATTTTGGGTAGTGGGTGGGAGGACACATGATAACAAGTAAACAAAAGAAAAAGATAAAGACTATTTCAGATAAAGACGAGATAAACAACAGGTTAATAAAGTGGAAAGTGACAGGAGGGAGTTATTTCGCATTGTGTGTGCCAGGGAATCCTCCTTGAATGTGTTCCCACTGCCTTGACTAGAGGCAGGACTCACCGGTTTCCTAGGACTTAAACTGTATGGGCGACACACCATGTTCTCCCTCCAAACTCGACTCAGTAGTTTCATCAAGAAACACTTGAGTTATACCACAAGGTAAATTTCTACCAAGGACGGACGGGTTCTGCAAATCCAACATGAGATGCTGCCTACCTGGGGCCATCGGCAGTGCTTCCTCAGCATTCTCTGCAGGGAGAGGGGTTGAGAATTCACCGTTAGGATGTGGAAGTATTCACGCTCTCCTCCAGCCACACCGAGCCCACGGAGTGGGTAGAGTCCGTGTTGAACAGCTGCATAAGCTACACAGCTAATTTACTAAGTTTTTCTTAACACGGTGGTAGGAATAATGCTTTCGACAGCAGTTTCATCTAAAAAAGGGGGGGTTGCAACTGTATGGGGAATATAAAAATAAAATTTATTGTTAAAAAAATGAAAATATCAATACTAGAGAGTCACTTAAAACCCTCATGATTGAATGAAAATAAAGATAAATCCTGTGGGAGGAAGAAAGTGGCCCACAGCACTTTGAACTTAATGGTGGGATCATTTGAGTGGTGCCTGCAGGAAGAAATGGCAAAGAATGGTCACGATATGGCAATCTGATCCCTCCCACTATTTATTCCAGTTTTTTCTTTATGAGCTACCCATCAGCTGCTGAGGCAGCTGGTAGAATGAAAACTGTCAGGCTGAAAACACGAAAGCATGAACTTATCCAATTGAGGTTTTAGATACTCAGGCTCTGCTAATATGAGAGGAAAGAAAAGGTCTCCTCTGGAAAGGGGCAGTTGTTTCTAGAGAGGAATTTCAAATAACACAAAGTGAATTCTGAAGTGAAAGAACCTGACTCCCAGCTAGAGATGCTGACTCTGCCTGCCTTCACTGGGATGACTAATTAGCCATCAAAGACATGAGTGTCTATCTTGATAAAGGCAGAACGCACTCGGGGAGTCATGTCACAGCTGACTCCTGTGCCTTTTCGCAAGTCATTATGAATTCTAGTCTTGTCATGGCACCATCAATGTCTTCCATTATTTATTTCCATGACATTCCTATCAATGCCTCATGGCAGAATTTGACACTCTCAGATCACTGATGCCTCTTCCTTCCGGCTCACACAGTGGTCAGCAGTGGCCAGTGGTTCCCCAGGTGTGAGCCCTGCTCATGGGCTTCATGGAGAAGCAGCAGATAACGAGCTCTGCGCTGGAGGGACAGATGACCATTACCTAAGCAGACGACGCTGGCGTCTTCCCCAGGGCCACAGTTATGGAGGGACCAGTCGGTGTGGGGACACTGCCGCAGAAAACGCTCTCTTCCTGTACAGTCCACGTCATCCAGCAGAAACCTGCCTCCGCCTTCGCCAAACTTGGCCTCCACAGGGGCTGCGAGGGCGCGGCCACAGCCCAGCTGCCGGCACACCACGTCAGCCTCGTTCATGTCCCAATGGTCGTCACAGACCCTGCCCCACTCGCCGTGGTAGAAAACTTCCACGCGTCCAGAACATCGGCCTGACCCGTTCACCAGCTGCAGCTGGAGCCAGTCTGTTAAAGACACGAAAGGATGACACGGTGGAGGAAGGAGCATCTTTTGCATCGACTCTCCCTTAGCCATTCAACAAACATTTACCAAGCGTAAATGTTTAGAATGTGCGCTGGGTCAGTAGAGAGTAAGGCAGATGCCGGGGCTCAAAGAACAGACCTGCTTTCTGCTGACACAGAGTTTGGACTCCAGGTTGAGGAGATTGGATGAAGCAGTTTCATTAACCGAAAGTTGAGTTTAGATTTACAACTACTCTAAGAACTAAGAAGCAAAGCGGTTCCACGTCATATTTTGCACATGTGTGGCGGGGCTGGGATTTGCAGCATATCTTTTCTAAGACATGATGGTGTCCCCGAGGCTTGGAAGATGAGCAGGAAGGAGTTAAGTAGACAAGGATGGCGAGGAAGAGGGCAGATACTTTCCTGGTGCATTGGGAGCAGAGGGCTGTGAGGGAGGCAGTGCAGAGGGCTCCCCATGAGTCCATCTGTTTGGCAGCATTTGTAAGATTGGGGACCTTGCCACCACTGAGGAGCACACGACCCACCAGAACACATCCCTCGAGGGTTAGAAAGCTTTGACTCACCGCCGGGAAACGGTGTCAGGCTCTCAGCATCTAAGAGCAGAGAGAAAGAAGTGAGGTGTCATTGCCGTGCAAAATAGTCCCCCCAAGTTTGTTGGGGAGCATTGCGTGCACATGATCTTGAGCCGAGCACGTGTGTTGGGGAATGTGTCTGGGAGGCCCTGTCAGTGGCAGGTGAGAAATCGATCAGGTATTGAGCAGCTCCTGGTCCCTTGCACGCTTGTTCTCTTAAGGGTGTATTTATGGGATTATTTGCGGGAATGCGTCCCCCACCGGAAAGGCCAAGGGGTAACTGCTCACACCAGTGTGTTCTTCTGGTACTTCTGGGATTTCTGAAGAAAGTTGCTGAAGGGCTCAGTAACAAAATGAATGTGCTTTTCTCATTTATTTTGGAATTTGCTGGACTGTCCAGATTCGCAAGCATTATTAGGGTGTCTGAAGTTACCATTTTTAGTCCAATTGTAGTTCACTCACATCTTTGAATAATAATTTATTGAATCACTTTTATCCTCACTTCACGGTTTTCTAAAATACATTCAGGCAACAAGAATAAAACAGTTTGGGGAGAAAATGTTTCTGTCCTGGTTAACTGATTTTGTTTTGTTTTTCTTTTTTCCTTTATTGAGTCCTTGCAAGTGAATTCTGTTTGTCTTCTGCCCCTCCTCCACTGTGCAATGGCTACACGAAGTTCAAGGATTGAGGGGGGTTGTGGACATTCTGTCAAAGATATACTAAAGTGTGATTCTTACCCCAAACTCCTGGAGCTTCATGTTCATGTTCTAGGGGAAAGAAAAGAAAGTTGAATCTATCTTGAATCAATTAGAGGTGAGGAAACTTCTGGAATGCCCTGCATTTGCTGGAAGGGTCAACTGCTGTCCATGGCTGTGACCCCAGGGAAAAGTCCAGGCTGGAGGAAGCCTTACATATGGTTATTCCAAAAAGCACTCATAAAGGGGAGAGCTTTTGACTATTTTCTGCGTTAGTTGGAAAAACAAACATCTCAGTCTAACCAGCACTCAGCAGCAGTCCGATCCATTCAAGCGGAGCTGGCCTTTTAAGTCTCTCAACTTGAAATCAGGGGTGGAGGGGGAGGGAGACAGACCCAATATGACTGGTCGCTGAGTATTTAAAACATTGTTTTCATATTAACATAAACACAGACTTATTATAGCTTAGAAGTAAAACTATATGGGACAAAAGGAGTTCAAGGGGTTTTGCCCAGGGCCGGCAACCCTGGGCTGTGCCGTTTGGAGCATTTGTCTGGAAAACACTAGAACTGATCACATCGTTAACATTTATTCTCTTGTTCACATAGTCAATAGTGTATAAGGAACAGGACAAAGGTAGTGTGACTTGATAACATGGAAGGTGGGTCTGGGGCAGCGCGGTGGCGGTGCGGGGGAGGGGGGGTGTCTCTCTGTGTGGGGAGCTTGCCAGAGCCTGAGGCATGGAAGTGCTTCTGGGAACCTGAAATAGGTGAGGAGGGGCTACCAGCACACCAAAGACATCTCTGAGCATTTGCAAATTTTGCCTAAAGTCAGGCTAGTTTTTCCAGAGTGTCGGTGTCCCTGGTGCAGGGCACAGAGCCCTGGAGGTCAAGCCCGGCAACCTTACGACTATGGTGGAGGTACTTGACCTTGACTTAGCTTTGCTGCCGAACCCCAGTGACCTTAGAACAGGAATCAAAGAGCAAGGCTGCCTGAGTGGTGGAGGAGGTGAGGTGGGAGAGGCCCAAGGATGCCAAGGAAGGCCCAGCGGATGGGCAGCTCCACGAGAGTTGTGGGCTTTAGGCTTTGAGGCAAAACCATTCAAGAGATTCCATAGCCCTGGACCCGGGAGGTGAGACATACTGAGATTATAATAAAAACTTAATGAATCCATCAGCATGTAATATTTGAAAGAAATTAGGTTATTGCACTCCCCCTAAAATGACAAAGCAAATGACAAAGCAAAACTTAATCAAGGTTACTCAGTAGAGGGGGCAATCATCGGGGAGTACAAGGGGAAATGGAGGGACACTGAGAAGGGGTTACAGAGAGCTTCATTTTCATTAGCAAAGTAACAATTAATGAACTATCGCTTGATTATTGATTGATAGATACTTATTAAAATAAGCAAATTCAATTGCAGATGCTTGCTTTTATACACAGGGTTCTTATGTCATCCCTGTTGACATTTGGGGCCGGGAGATTCTCGGGGGGCGGGTGGCTGTCCTGGCTGTTCTAAGATCCTTAGTAACCCCTCTGGCTTTCCCCCAGAAGATGCCAGTCACAGCCCCTATTTGGAAGAATCGAGTGTCTCTAGACATTGCTAAATGTCCCCAAAGGGACAAAATCACCCTGTTTCAGACTATTCAAAAGCACACTTGAAGATGTCTCTAAATCCCCCGAGGAATACCCTTACAACCACCCGCCAGCCGTCATCCTCAGCCCCTTCCTTCCTCCCGAGGTGGCTGCTCTAGGAGGCTCACTGAGTCCTCCCTCCACTGGCCTAGGCCGCTGGAGCACCTGTGTGGGGCAGAGGTGATTCTGCCCAGTCCTCCCCATCCTCAGCATGATGTGCCCAGTCCTCCCAGCCTCCAGCGCGATCGACCCGAGGCATCCCAGGCACCCCAAATGCAGGAGGCTGTAGGCCACCTTTACCCTGCGGCCCGGGCAGAGGACCTGGGATGATGGTTTACAGGACCAGAGCTCTCTTGCCCCTCACCCCGCCCTCCAGAACCACCTGCAGGGGAAGGCCCCAGCACAGCAGAGTCTGATGCTTGGGGCAGAAGCCTCAGCCACGGACGCAGTGTTGGCTGCTGGATCCCTGGGTACCCATGTTCATATTGTTGAGAAGTACTTGGTGCTTGGCGGGCTGAGGAGGCTCCAGTCCTGCTTCCTGGCAGGAGGACTTTGGAGGAATAAATCGGGGAGTGGGGCTCATCTCCTCTGACTCCCAGGTGGCCGCTGAGGGCTTGGGAAGCTTCCCCTTGCTCCTGACTCCAGACCCTGCCCTCAGCCACAGTCAGTTTAGCCAGGACAAGGCTGTTTGGTCTCCAGGAGATAGAATTCCTCAAAAAGCAGCACGATCGGGCACAGCATCCTTGGTGGCCTGGCTCTCAGGAGCGGCAATGGCAAGCTCATGGG